ACGGGGGCTGGATCCTTTATCAGAAGATATGCCCTCTCCCTACCTCCAGATACCTGTCACTGTCTAATATATAAATATGGCAGCTGCTGATTAATGGAAACTGAGTTGAGGGATAGCGTTGCATTTAGGACTGGCAGGCTCCTTTTCAATACAGGTCTCAGGAGCATGTGTGTTTACCGCATGAACATTAATTGACAGAGTTTTATACACACCGTGTGGTGTAGAGGGTAAGTGGTTGGCAAGAATGCTTTCAGCTGGCTCATGTGCTAGGTTTGTGGCTATTTTATCTGGAGAGTCCTGTGTTACTGGGCAGAAAGATGTGCTGGTTTGAGTTCATTTCAAACCACAACCCATGCAGACAGTCTGTGTTAAATACATTTTTCTGTTCTGTCACAGGTGCAGTGTTCAGGCTTTTTCTATGGCTATTTTTCAGGTTTTGTGATTAATTAAAGTGTAGTTACTGCGTTTGTGATTTTCTCTTTTTAAGGGTACAGTATCCAAGCTAAGTTCCTATCACATGCCTTCCTTTTTCTTCAGTCTCCTCTTTCCCTCGCTGACTGCAGCACTATCGCACATACACATCTACACTCACTACCAAACAGGCGTCCATGTGGCCACCCCACATACCATTACATGTCCATTTAACTCTTCTTCGTGTCCTAAGGATAGCACAGATAGATGGTGTGTGTCATTTGTACTCTATTTTTTAAGTTGCATTTCCCCAATAAAAATATACATGTATTTTTTATATAATTTAAATAATGATAAAACATTCTAATGATAAATACTTAACAAAATATTACAAAATTAATATATATGTGAAAAAAAAATGGAAAGTGTATCTCATTCTATTTTCCTTTCTTGCTGTGTCAGTATGCGGTCTTATGCTTCGTAGTTGCTGTTCACAAGTGTGGCGAAACCAACCTCGCCCCTGTGAACTGGAGAAGCCTGGTTGCTCGCCTGCTCCCTTTGGACTATGGCCCTGCAGGTTAAACCGTTTATTTCCCCTGCAGAAAGGCTTATTTGTGTGATCTGAGTGCCATTCATCTAATAATGTGCACTCAGATCCCAGCTATCTGGGGATATGTGAAATGTCTGTGTGTTATGTGTAAATGTGACTATGTATTTTAAAGTGTTTTGTGTCTTTTTGCAACCATGTGCTTAATGGAGTCTTGTGTCTATCCTGGGAGATAATTGAATTACTCTCCAGGATAGAAGACTCTGAAACTGGTTTGGGCCAGAAAGCCATGCTTCATTTAGTCACAAAGGACTTTCCCTTAACTTTTGAACCCCTGGTCTGATTCGTGCCATTTTTTAATATGTTGTTCCCCTGAATGGATTGATTATGAAAATGTATGTTTTATGTTTGTGACATGTATATTTTAGAAGTTAGAAATATTGTGTAAAAACTGTATTCCTCTGCCGGTGATAATGAGATTACCCATTGTGTTCAGTAATCATATCACCTGCAGAGGGGAGGATTTTGTGTGGGAGTGTCTGGGTGTATTGTACGGATTGATTGGTTGTTTTGTAACGCCCTGTGGGCTGTACTATGTTTGTGGATTGGGAATAAAAGAGACTGTATGTGACAGTACAGGGAGTTCCTGTTTTAACCCTCAAAGTGAAGTGTCGTCTCATTATTGGGGGAAGGATTTATTGTATGCTGTTCCAGTTTGACTGCTAGGAGAGTAAACCTATTTGTATGGTTTCCTATTCAACTGTCTACAGCATTCATATGCTTGGAAGAATTTATTTGTTTCTCCGGTTCGGTGATTGTGGTGTCTGCCAGAGTGCTTGGAGTCCTCGGGAAGCGCTAGGAGCATCCTTCAACGGAGGTACCAAGTCGGGGTGCTAGGCGATCCGTTACAACAAGGTTTTTTTTGGTCCCGTTGCAGAGTCTGTCCCGCGTTTGGCTTCGGGTTTTTTGTTTCCCTGCTTGGCTGGGCCATGTCTGGCCGCCATACTTGGGCTATACTCTTTTTTTTTTTTCCTAATTGTGTACTCCATACAGCCTGTCCACCTGGACTCCAACGGGCTCACTCTGCCCTCCAGTTACGGTCGGCCCTACGATTCTTCCTTGTACCTCGCCCCCTCTTTTTTTTTTTTTTTCATTCACACAGTACGTCCCATCTCTCACTCATTACCCACCACTCTTGGTTAGCTGTTGCTGGCTGTCAGGGTTCTAGGTGTCCACTAGTTTTAATTCCCCCTGGCTTTATCGCCTTAGGTTAGGGGTCCCTCGAGGCCAACACGCACACACACTCACGCACATTGGGTCACTTATGCGCTGTTTATTCGTTTCTTTGTCTAGCAGGTCTCCGCTGCTAGGCATTGGCGTAGTATTTGCCGCACGGGCTCTCTGGCTAGGTCTGGTACTCATCACGCTGTGGAATTTTTGGCTACTCCTACCTTTTTTTCGGGTCATGGGCTCTTCTCGCGAGTTAACTTATTCTCCCCCCCCCCCGGCAGCCTTTCAGAAAGCTGTACTCTCAGTGTCTGCCCACCTCCACGGGTAACGCTGTTGCTGGAGGGGGCCCCGAGTTCGCTCTTACTTCTCCATTGTTCACCCCCCTTGTTGTCTTCGCTGCTGTCGTCAATGGGGCAGTGTCGGATGGCAGTTTGGGTAACTGGCATCTGCGCGTTGGCTGGATCCGAAACTTTCTGCACCTTTTTCATACGATCGGTCCTGTGCCTCCTCTACGCATTCCACATGGCTCTGCCTACTGCCTTTCCCGTAGCCGCTGCCGTTCCCTGCATTTTGGGGCCTGATCACGTTCTGCCAGCCTTGTTAGCTCGTGGTCGTCATCTTTCACGTCTGGCTCTTTTTTCTACCACTCGCGGTACATGTGTTAGGGCCTTCTTCCCCTTTAAGGGCTCCTTTTTCACGTATACTGTTACTGTCTCTGTTGCTATGTTGTCTGCGATTGGTTTTTGCTTTTTTTTTGCGCCACCTCTAACTTGCATCAACTCTACCTACCGGTTTACAACTTCACATGTCGTACAGGTTTACCATTCATACGCAGTTTCATGTCCTCATACAAGATTATTACCATACTCAAGGCGTTTCAGGTTCTGGGAAATTTCAAACTTACAGATTTCCCATCAGCACCCAATTATTTCAATCACTATCAGACCTATTAAAGGCCCTGGCCCTTTAATACGAAACGGGCATCAACCTTCAATGTAGGGCATAACTGCTTGATCCAAAGATAAATCTGACTGCCATTCTGGGGTCAAGAAGGAATTTTTCCCCTAGTTTGTTGCAAATTGGAAGCGCTTCGAACTGGGTTTTTGCCTTCTTTTGGATCAACCGTTTAAAAACAAATGTGAGGAAGGCAGTACTTGGTGGACGCTAGTCTCTTTTCAGCTATGTAACGATGTAATCTAGTTGTGTAGCCGCTATACCTGCTTTCGCAGTTTCTTGGGTCACACATATTTCCCGTCCATCTTGCAGCATTGTCTCAGGAAGTCTCACCTATTCATGCAGTCTATTGTTTACCTCCTCTACCCCACACTTAGTCTACCCTACGTGGCTAACACGTTTAATATACCTTACTTCCCCTTGCACAATTAAGAGTGCCAGTTAAAGTGCCGGGCACCTATTTACTTGCTCTTTCTAATCAAGCCTCACAATCACAGATGTCACTACTTGGGCCAGTACTCACACTACTATTTTTTGATCTTGAGGCTAGATTTAAATCCGTCTTACTATTCTGGTCCTCTCTAGGATAGGGTGGCATCCATAGCTTCAAACTAGTTTCATTTTGGTCTGTATATTTAATCTCTAGGTCAATGGTTCTCTTCATATTCCCCATATGTACCACAAGATTTTCGACAGGCATTTACCATACAGTTAGGCAATTAAGGTCTTTTGTTGATTGTTTTAAGTTTCTGGCACGTATCTATTTTTTGCCCTCTTATTACAGGCCTACCACGACGTCGGTTCCGGCACATCTCAACCGACTTATTTCCCTCTTTACTTCCTATACGGCCTTATTTGCCCCTCACACAAATGTAAAGGCTTGGCCTGCAGTTGTGGGAGGGGCATGTTACCCTACTTAAACCCCCTACTTACCTTCCTCCGTCCCGTACATGTTTTGGCGATTCGCATGTCCCCACCCTCCACTCCCTCTATCTATACTTTTCATTACACCTCATGGGTAGGCCCTCTTTTATTACAGGCCTACCACGACGTTGGTTCTGGCACACCTCAACCGACTTATTTCCCCCATTACTTCTGATACGACCTTATTTGCCCCTCACACAAGTATTGATTTTACTTCTCCCAAAGAGGTCTAATTTTCAGACAGTCCCACCATATGTGTCTGAAAGCCGCAGTTAGTTCATTACATCTCCAACAATTAGATGGCGATGTAGGATACATTTTTGCAATCTTTTGAGGTGTTCTATACCATCTATTTAATATTTTATAATGGGTTTCGTGTATATTTAAGCAATGACAAGCTTTATATAATTCCATTCTTTCATAGTTATATCCTTTTGCAAATCAGAATACCATTTACTAATTGCCGGGGGAATTGGTTTAATCTAAATCTTGTATATTATTTTTTGACATTTACTAGTCAGATGAGTATGGTCTGATTGCGCATATATTTCTGAGAGAAGCTTAACTGGTAGCTCAAGAGGATTAGATTTTAAAAACATGCCTAAAAAGGATTTTATCCTAATGTAGTTGAACCACTCGGGCAGAGGAATACTATATTCAGTTTGGAGTTGTTCCTAAGATTTCAATTTATTTCCTGTTAGAAGATCGGATATCATTTTTATACCTTTCTGAATCCAAACTTCTAGGTTTATGTCTGTCATTAGATCAGACAGTATATTTAAATTTATTTCAGGAATTATCTTCATTTTTAGGCCCATTTTTTTTTTTTAAAAACAGACCAGGTGGGAAAAATTTGTTGGACCATCAGCAATTTAGAGTTTTTAATATGTTGATTTGTTTCTTTATCTATTGGCCATAAAAGGGTTTTATAGTTCTTAGCTCCCAGGGTCAGAATCTGTTCTCTTTTGTACCAGTTTTCATTTACATAATCTTCCTTATTTATCATTAGGACGTGCGCTATTAAATTGGCTTGTGCAATATCTTGGATAATTGGGATACTCATGCCTCCTTCATTTTTTTTCCTAGACATAATATCTTTTTTGATTCTAGTTTTTTTGCCTGACCTGATAAATTTAGTGAATGATGATTGGATTAGTTCTAGCCAACTATCTGGGATCTTTAAAGGGATCATTCTCATGATGTACGAGAAATTTGGTACAATATATGCTTTTAGTGTTTTTATTTTCCCTAACCAAGAAATTTCTAGTTTTTCATTTCTTTAAATTAGCGTTTGTTTCTTTAATTAATGGTAGAAAATTAATTTCCATCCATTTCTTTGGGTTTTTTGAAATTTTTATACCCAAATAATTAAAATCACTTTTAGCTTGTTGAAATCCATATTTAGTTTCTATAGTATCAATATTGTTTTGAGATGTATTTTGATATAACGCTATGGATTTGTCACTATTTATCTTTTAGGCCTACACAGGCGAAGATGCATTTTGAGGGATGGAAAAATTAATCTTTACCTGTGCAGTCAAAAATCCTTGCACAGTCTCTGATGACAGTAGGACCATAAGATATCAAGGTTATGAAGCCAGGGCTGCCATCAGAAATGTTCCCTGACACAGTTTAAGGTCTGAGCTCCCTGGACCTGCCCCTGAGTCCCCCTACGGGGCCCATCCTGAGTGTGTATGTATGTATACATACATACATATACACACACACCACCCCCCACCCCCGGAATGTGGGGCCCGGGACTCCCTAAGCAGTCTGGGCTCCCCAGGACTGCCGGGCCCATAACAACCGTTATGGTTGTCATGCCCTGACGGTGGCCCTGGTTGGAGCCCGTATACAGTTTTATGGGGCTTTTATCTGCTTCTGCAACTCTCCATTGTTTTACCTTATGGAGAGGGAGCCACGGTTGTCCAGTGCAGGGGAGGCTGCTCAAAACTGAAAAAAAATATCATAGGCATCTGGAGAGGGAGGCTGATCTAGGGCTGTCAGGGACCTCAGGGTTGTGACAAGATTCCCATTGAAGTTCTGGCACTCTGAGATTACTAGCTGTGCGTGCTGGAACTTCAGTGGGAACTTTACAGCAATTTGCGGGAGGGCTGCTGCTGTGGGCTGGCTCGCAGGAGCGGCAGTATTCCCCTTTGTGTCTGGCTATGTGTGCTGAAAGGGTAAGTAATTGTTACCTTTAATGCACACAGTGTGATGCACACAGGAAATACAATCCCAGCACAGACACACTACATCTCCAGCATACACAGACACACACTACATCCCCAACACAAATAGAGACACACTACATCCCCAGCTCACACACTACATACCCAGCACACACACTACATCATCAGCATACACATGTTACATCCCTATTGCACACACATTCACACTACATCCCCAGCACACACACACCGACACATCCGTATGTGTGACACTGTATATGTGTGTGTATTTGTAGGTCTGTTTATCTGTGTGTCTGTTTATCTGCATGTTTGTCAGTATGTGTATCTGTGTGTGCCAGTGATTCTGCATGTGTTTCAGTGTGTGTTTGTATATCTGCGTATCTGCATGTGTGGCAGTGTTTGTATCTGTACATATGTATGTGTGTCAGTGTGAGTATGTGTATCTGTGTGCATCTGCATGTGTGGCAGTGTTTGCATCTGTGCATCTGCATGTGTGGCAATGTGCTTATCAGTGTGTCTGTTATCTATATCAGGGTTGCCATCTGTATATCTGTATGTGTGGCAGTGTTTGTACCTGTGTGTCTGTACATTTGTATATGTGTTACTGTGTGTATATGAGTATGTCCTTGCATCTGTATGTATGTCAGTGTTTGTATCGGTGTGTCTGTATGTGTGTCAAGAGTTTGTATCTGTGTATCTGCATGTGTGTCATTGTGTTTGTGTATCCACGTGTGTATCTGCACTGTGAGGGGGGCCTGGTGCAGAAGAAGAGGTAGGGAGGCTATGGCAGAGGAGAAGTAGGGGAGCCTAGAAAAGGGAAAAAGGGGAGATGGGGATAGAGAAAAACATATACAAAAATATGAAATAACAACTAAATAATTACAAATATTTTGCTAATATGAGGGGTACAATTCATGGAAATGAATTTCACTCAAGTGAAAAAAAGGTTGCAAACCACCAGTCTGGTGGGGTTATAGGAGTGATGTGAACAGATAGCGGTCACATCCCTATTCCAGTTTTGCATACTCAGCTCTGGATAAAGTGGTAGGGCAGAGAAAATTCACTAAGCTGCAAAGTGCTCCTGTTTCACTCACAATTATTTTTATTGTGCTGAAACCCCATCACTCTCAGCTGCATGTTTTATAGAACAAAAACAATCTTCTAAGGCAGGCATCTCAAACTCTGGCCCCCACGATGTTTATGAACTACTACTCCTTTGATAATCTGGCCATCTTTGAATTCAAATGATTTTGGAGTTGTAGGCCATTGACACCTGGAGATGCTTATTCTAAGATGTATCGTAAGTTAACCTGTATTTAAAGGAACACTATAATGTTAAGAATATAACCATGTATTCCTAACACAATAGTGTTGTCCTAACTATTTAGGTGAGTGCTACTCATGTGGGAGAAAAGAAAGCAGTCTTACTTACCTTACAGCCATTGCTGTATCAGTCTTGATAATCTGAGCCAATCCAATGCTTCCCCATAGAGAAGCATTGAGAGGCTAGTGCACATGCTGGCATATAGCCGCCCTGAGCCAATCAGCATCTCCTCATTGAGATTTATTAATTCAAGGCATCAAGGGAACAAAACGTTTATGGACTGTCTCTATACAATACACAACATTAAATCTGGCTCTCAGACTCCCACTAATCCAGGGCAGCAGCAGTGACCATAGTACACATCAGCCCCAATACATACAAGAAAAACAAAGAAAATAGTTACATGCATGCAGTGGCGTACACACAACCCATGGGGCCCTGGTGCAAAACTGATCCATTGGCCCCCCTCTAAGTCCCCTCCAGACAGAGACACACACACACACACACACACACACACACACAGACTGATACAGACAGACACACACAACACATCCATACAGACAGACACACACATGGGTGTCCGCAGGTTGGGGCCCCCTGGATTTTTCAGCTTGTTCTGCTATTTTTCTTGTGAGATTGAAAATACAGTGAAATACTGCCAGTAGGTGGCGCTGTGTGTGGAGAGAGACAGGGATAGGAAGCTATATCTTATCCCTGCTTCTCTCTCCTGACTGAATTCGCAAGAGAGCAGCACAGAGTGCAGCCAGCAACTCCCAGAGTGCAGAAACAGCCTACAGATCAGGTAAGTGAGGGATGGGGGGGCAGCCTACATATCAGGTAAGTGAGGCATCAGGGGGGAGAGATAGCCTATAAATCAGGGAAGTGAGGCATAGGGGGGCCAGCCTATCAGGGAAGTGAGGCATAGGGGGGCCAGCCTATAGATCAGGGAAGTGAGGCATAGGCAGCCTATAGATCAGGGAAGTGAGGAATGGGGTGGGTGGGTGGGAGAGACAGCCTCTAGATCAGGTAAATGAGGGATGGGAGAGAAAGCCTATAGATCAGGTAAGTGAGAGATGGGAGATCCACCTACAGATCAGGTAAGTGAGGGATGGGGGGACAGACTATAGATCAGGGATGTAAGGGATGGGGGGGGGGCAGCCTATAGACCAGGTTAGTGAAGGGTGGAGGAGACAGCCTACAGGAAGGGTCAGCAATGAGCAGGAAGGTAAAGTAAGAGAAGGGGCAGAAAGGAAAAGGAACAGAATTAAGCAGGAAGGGACAGCAAGGAGCTGGATGGGACAGCAAGGAGCACAAAAGGTAAAGTAGGAGAAGGAGCAGAAAGAAACAGAAATGAGCAGGAAGGGGCAGCAAGGAGCAGGAAGGGTCTGCAAGGAGCAGCAAGGGACAGCAAGGAGAAGGAAGGGACAGCAAGGAGAAGGAAGGGACAGCAAGGAGAAGGAAGGGACAGCAAGGAGAAGGAAGGGACAGCAAGGAGAAGGAAGGGACAGCAATGAGTTGGAAGGTAAAGCAGCACAAAGGTAAAGTAGAAGGAGCAGAAAGAGTCAGCAAGGAGCTGGAAAGGGCAAGGAGCAGGAAGGGACAGAAGGAGCACAAAGGTAAAGTAGGAGAAGGAACAGAAATTAGTAGGAAGGGACATACAAGGAGCAGAAAGGGTCAGCAATGAGCTGGAAGGGGGAGAAGGAGCAGAAATTAGCAGGAAGGGGCAGCAAGGAGCAGGAAGCAGCAGCAAGGAACAGGAAGCGGCAGCAAGGAGAAGGAAGGGTCTGCAAAGAGCAGAAAGGTACAGAAAGAGCACAAAGGTAAAGGTGCAGAAAGAATCAGAAGGAGCTCAAAGGTAAAGTATGAGAAGGAGCAGAAAAGGGTAGCAATGAAAGGGACAGGAAGGAGCATAAAGATAAAGTAGGAGAATGAGCAGAAAGGGATCAGAAAGAGAAAGGAGCAGAAGGATGCAAAATAAGCAGAAAGTAGCAGAAAGGTAAAGGAGCAGAAGGAGCCAAGGAGGAGAGAACACAGTGTCAGAAGCAAAAGAAGACGGTGTCAAATGAAGGAGAAGAAAAGGAGATTGGAGCAGGAAGGACAAGTGAAGTGAACCCTCCACTTTATTCTGAGCACCACATCATAATGCTTTGGCACCTGGGCCTGGCAGGGAAACTTTGGCCCTTCTCATCTCCCCAGGTAAAAAATAAAATAAATATCATATATATCAAGAGAGCACCCATGGGCTTCCTGGCATCATAGCATTTTCATTTAGATTAAGTTATTGTGGTGACCAGAATGTCGCTTTAATTTACTTAAAGGAACACTAAAGTGTCAGGAATACAAACATGTATTCCTGACACCATAGTTGGGAAAACGCTATTCACCCTGGCTTTATGTGATCATGACTATGCCCCTTCCTTTCATGACATTGTCAAAAAGGGACCAAGTATGGATGTCATTGGAATTTTCCTCCCCCCCTGGAAAAATTCCTGGGGACGCCCATGCACACACACATGACAAACATACATTCAAAGACACATACATACAGACACACACACACACAAGACATACATACAAAGTCACAGACAGGCACACACACATACAGACAGTTAGACACTGACACATACATACAAACACACACATAAAATTCAAGTCACCCTCCTGTTTCCTACCTTTTAAAGTGCAGGAGGGTGACTTTCCCTGGGGTCCAGTGGTTGTTCAGGTT